CACAATTCCTTTTATATAATACTATTAAACTGATAAATTATAGATACTGGGGATAGATTAGTAGTTGATAGGAATTTGGGGAGGAGGAAAGGAGGCTGTTGTGGCCATTAATAGTGATCTTAGTTATGGTCTCTGTTTACTGTAATGGTAGTCACAAAAACACAGATGTTTGATGAAATTGGATAATTATAGATTCAAAAATTAGTATTTGTAAAACTGGCAGAATTTGAATAAATTCAGTGGATTTTATCTACATGGTCTGAATGCTCCTGTCTACATATTCATTCATAGGATAGCATTTAATTACCAATGTGACATAGGATTGTGATCTTTGGAAAGGTGATTAGTTCTAAGGGTTGATTATATCAGAACCTCCATTATTGTGCTCAGTGCCCTTCTAAAAGATCCCCCAGAGAGCTGCCTTCCTATACTAGTATGTGTGATGCTGTTAGAAAGTGCCATCTCTGAACCAGAAAGCAAGCTCCTACCAAACACTGATACTGCTGTCTCCTTGAGCTTGGACTTCTCAGCCTGCAACCTGTGAAAATAAATATGGTATCTGTTATTTAAAAGTCACTTTGTTTATGGTATATCATTACAGAAGTTCAAAAAGTTCCAAAAGGCAAGGAACACAACATTTTACTAGAATACATACAGATGGCAAATATGGATTTACAGTATATCAGTGTCAACTTCCTGGTTGTAGTTTTACACTAAAAGTACTGTATATTACTTTTAATTTTTTTTTTTTTTATTCCAGGGATCAAACTCACAACCTCATGCTTGCCAGGCAGGCATATAGGATGCTAAACTAAATTCCCAGACCTGTGTATTACTTTTAGGGGAAACAAGATGACAAGTAGAAGGAATCTATAATTTCTCAAAAACTCCACGGGAATACATAATTACTATAAAATAGTAAAATCACTGTAGGAACAGTGTAAAAATAGATTGGTAACAAGGGTCATTAGATAACTGTATTTGTTTGCTGGAGAGAAGTAATGAACAACAGAATGACCACCAGATTTTTTTCCTTGAACTTCACTGAGCAGGAGAGAAAACAGGAGGAGTAGATTACCAGAGAACAAGAGTGACGAATTCAATTTTGATCTTGCTGAGTTTGTTTTCCATGCAATCAACCAGGCAGAGCATATAAAAAGAGAAACCAAGAGGACAAAGTAGGAATCTTTGGGTATGGGAGGCATATAAAATGTTCTGCTGAATTTTAGATATCTAATCAGTATCTAATACTTCAAAGCATAAATTAATATTAAAATACTACATTCATGTGCATATCAGGACAAGAAAATTTTTAAAACAGGAGAGAAAACATACATTTATATTTGTGGGAATTCCATGTGCAGGACAGATAAAATGAATTGTATTATTATTAAGCATTAAAAACAACAATAAAAAAGGAATTAACATTGAGTACCCTCAGTGTGCTAAGTAGTACATCAGTTTTCAGAGGAATCATGCTGTTTAATCCTCAAAAAAACTCCTGAAAGTTTTTTTTTATGATCTACAATTTCCAGTCATAGAAATTATTTGACAAATTTAAAAAGTAAGTAATTTTTAAGAGGCTAGAATTTGAGTTTAGAAGCATGCAGGTTCTCAGCACACATCTTTTCATCCCAGCAAATTAGCTTGTCAGAATGGTGGGAAGGTAGATAAAAACCTTTGTAAAACTGTAGCTTTTTATCTTTTGTTATTTGGGAATTTTATACGACTTTAAACTCCTATTTTTATATTTTTAAGTATTCAGCTGCCTAGAATGTTAGTCTTGAGGTTGCATGATCCATCTTTCCAGGATGGGATACAGTACTGATACTAATTCAGTAGTAATGGATCTCTGTCACTAGGTGCGAAGCTTAGCCCCTGCCTTGTGTCACCTATATCTCTGAATTAAGAATTGGTTCATTCAATTATTATATTAATTCGTAGGTAATTACTCCCTATTATTTTCTAGTCAGAATGTTTTTACATTTTTTTCACCTATACAGGTTATACAGATTAGTTAAATAAGTATCTTTCATTCAGCTAATATAAACAAATAGCAGATGTCTTCAGTTCTGTGTCCTCAGACTAACACAGTGCATTAAGTTCAACTTCATTAACCAACAGTGGATTTCCTAAACATCAACACCTATCAGCAAAAAACCAAAGTGCCCATGCCATCTTTCTCCATCTCTAAAGAAAAATCCTGTGGATTATGAGGTCTGTTTTTTCTCTTTCATTTTTCTACACACTATATTTTTCAATTTTTCTTTTATTAAAGTATATCACTAAAAATTTGAGGTCAACGCATCAGGACCCTGATATCTAAGGCTTGAAAGTGTTCTGTAGAATGCTGGGTCCACTTTACAGATCAAGGGCAATGCAACTATGATACTTGAAAACTAAATCAGGTTTCCATTCCCAATCAACACATATGCATCCTCACTTTCAGAAATTATTAAGTATGCTGCTGCTGCTGATTCAGTAATCTAGATTTAATTTTCAAACTCATTTTAACGGGAAACTCTCCACCTCAGACTTAATATCTATCAAAACGCAGATTCAACTCTGCATACTGCAATTCATATAAACACTAAAGAGGTGGGTGGCGGCAAGGGTTCTGAGGATATTTATGTGATCTGATTTTTTTGTTGGATCAGTTAATTTTTTTGATCCTTCACCTTTTTAAGAGCCAAACCTTTGGTTTAGATTTAACTTCTCGCCATCCACGCCATCTAGTGGTTTTAAACGTTATTTGCTTGGTTTTAAAGGAGATTCCGAATGACTGGGGGCAGGGGGTGGGGGTGAGCCTGACAAAACGGTTGGCCGTGACAATTTTCCTGTCACTCCACATCGCCTATCCCTCACGAGTACACCTTTAACTACTTTAGCCGTTTTAGATATGCGCAGAAATGCGCAAAGAGGATGCAGGGTGGGTACACTCTCAGAGTCGCACGCCCCTTGACGCTGACATTTAGAAAAGGACCTAAATCCTCCTGTCATTCGGAAAGGACAGGAAAAGGAGTTGTGTCAGAGCTGGACAGAGATGACGCCTGACTTCTTATCAAGTTGGACAGATGACATAGTCACCTCGGCAACGTTAACATCTGTATGGGAAAAAAATAATAAATAAAAAAAAATAAAAAAATAAAAAAAAAAGGAAAGAAAGAAAGAGAAAGAGGAAAAAGCACTTAAAAAATCCGCCGCGGAGCTTTGCAGGTCTTGCGACCTAGTCGTCCCCAGAAGACAACCAATTCCTGTGCGTTCCGCTCCGCTCACCCTCCTTCCCAGCTTCTCTTGAGTTTTTTCTCCCCCACCCCTTTTCCCACGCTCGCCTTGAACCCGGACTCGGGAGACAGAAGCGAGACACCGGTTTCCCTTCCTCCTCGCCTCCACCAAACCACCGCAGCCCAGCGCGTGAAGCTTCCTTCCCTTTGTTCCTCCGGGCTCACTCTCCTCCCCGGGCAGAGCCACCTGGATGCTCTCCGTCGGTGACATTTTGCGCCGGGGCTGGTGGGTGGCCGGGGTGGAGCGAGAGAAGCCCGAGGGGGCGGAGGCGGAGAAAGGTCAAGCCGAGGGAAAGGCAGGAGACGCCTCTTCTAACCTGCGTGGCGGGGCGTGCGCGCGGTTATTTATTTATTTTCTCCTTATTTATTGATCGTACGAGCAGAGCGGCGCGGGGAGCTCGGGGAGATGCAGGACCACCCACTGGCGGCGGGGAAGCAGCGAGCAGCCCTCCCGCGCCCCCGCGTCGCCGAGCGCCTCCTGCCTCCGCGCTCGGACGAAAGCCCGCACCGGCCCCGGCCCCGGCCCCTCCGCGCCGCCGCCGCCGCCGCCCGCCCGACCGCCTCGCAGCTCCGCAGCCCCGCAGCCCCGCGCCGCGCCGCCCCGGCCCCGGCCACCGCGGCCGCGCAGTAAGTTGGCAGGAGCCAGTGCCCTGGGTTCTCGCCTCCCCCGCACCTTTTGAACTTGTTGCTGTCGCTCGGCTAGCCTGCGCCTGGCTTTTGGAAGGTGAAAAGGAGGAGGGAAGGCACAGAGGGATGGGGGAAGGGGAAAAAGAGCTCGCTTGAGCTTTATTTATGCTTCCTCGGCGGCGCCTCGGATCCTGCGGCTCGCAAGCTGCTTTCTCGCCTTCTTCTTTTCCGGGTGCACGGCGAGGAGAAAGTCTCTATGCAACTCAGCCCCCAGCGCGGGCGCGCACTTTGCCAGGTATGTACCGCGGGCGAGGCGCGTTCTGCGCCGCGGCAGATGTTGCTGCCGCCGAGGCGACGGCGCCTGCCGGCTCCCGGGCTCTGTGACTGTCACACAGCACCTGCGCTGAACTTGAAAAGAGAGTGAAGGGGCCACTGACTGGGCAGACGCTGGTGGCAGACGCCGAGGGTGTCGGCAGACGAGGGGAGGAGGATCGCTATTCACGCCCCCCGCCGTGCCCACGGCCCGTGGCACCTCTGTCTCCGCAAAAACTGGAGGAGGCGAGGCGCATCCTGACTCCTGGGGACGTGGGGCAGCGGCCGTGACCGCATCCCCGAAGCCACAACAGATCGCCTTCAGAAGACTGCTTTGGCGGGAAGGGCCACTTGGAAAAGGCAGGTTTGAAAGAGAAAAGAGGGACGGGAAAGGTTTCCCTGATTCGCCAAAGCGACACCACGGGGTGACTCTCCTCTTTCCTGCTCCGCATACTGACCCCATATCACCCAGACTGAGTCAGGGGACACCTCACACACACCTGTTTGAAGACACTGCTGCCTCTGAAGCCGCCCGTGTGCTTGTTTGTGGCAGGAGGTGGCCTGCTCTACCGGCTGCCAGAGGTCTGGCCAGGTCTGTTGAGGCCGCCTGCTTTTAGGACACTGCACTTCTTGTGGTTAGGCTGTGAGGAAACTTGCTCTTGTGGAAACTGTGACTTTGCCTATCTTGGCCTAAGACAGGCGGCTGGGGAGAGAGGTCCTGCGCGATTTGCCGGACTCTAGAGGGCGTTCGTGGCCCAGCAGGCACCGCGCGTCAACATGGCGGCCGGCGTGGCAGCATGGCTCCCATTCGCCAGGGCGGCGGCCATTGGCTGGATGCCTGTGGCCTCCGGGCCCATGCCAGCTCCCCCGAGGCAGGAGCGGAAAAGGACTCAGGATGCGCTCATCGTGCTGAATGTGAGTGGCACCCGGTTCCAGACCTGGCAGGACACCCTGGAACGGTATCCGGACACGCTGCTGGGCAGCTCGGAGCGGGACTTCTTCTACCACCCCGAGACCCAGCAGTATTTTTTCGACCGTGACCCGGACATCTTTCGCCATATCCTAAATTTCTACCGCACTGGGAAGCTCCACTATCCACGCCATGAGTGCATTTCTGCATATGATGAAGAGTTGGCCTTCTTTGGCCTCATCCCAGAAATTATCGGCGACTGCTGTTACGAGGAGTACAAGGACCGTAGGCGAGAGAACGCTGAGCGTCTGCAGGACGACGCGGACACTGACACCACGGGGGAGAGTGCCCTGCCCACCATGACTGCCAGGCAGAGGGTCTGGCGGGCCTTCGAGAACCCGCACACCAGCACCATGGCTCTGGTGTTCTACTACGTGACAGGCTTCTTCATTGCTGTCTCCGTCATCGCCAATGTGGTAGAAACAGTGCCATGTGGGTCTAGCCCCGGCCACATTAAAGAACTGCCCTGTGGAGAGCGGTACGCGGTGGCCTTCTTCTGCTTGGACACCGCCTGTGTCATGATCTTCACTGTTGAGTACTTGCTGCGCCTCGCTGCAGCACCCAGTCGTTATCGCTTTGTGCGCAGTGTCATGAGTATCATCGACGTGGTGGCCATCCTGCCTTATTACATTGGGCTGGTGATGACAGATAATGAGGATGTCAGTGGAGCCTTTGTCACACTCCGAGTCTTTCGAGTCTTCAGGATCTTTAAGTTTTCCCGCCACTCTCAAGGCCTGCGCATCCTGGGGTACACCCTGAAGAGCTGTGCCTCGGAATTGGGCTTCTTGCTCTTTTCACTTACCATGGCTATCATCATTTTTGCTACAGTTATGTTCTACGCAGAGAAAGGGTCTTCAGCCAGCAAGTTCACCAGCATCCCTGCAGCGTTTTGGTACACCATCGTTACCATGACAACATTAGGGTAGGTGCCATGAAGGGAAATGGGATAGAGGTTGGATATGGTTGAGTTGATTGTGGGCCTGTTAAGGTCTCACAGTACTCCAAAGGTACTAATGTTTTTGTTCTTTCTTAAGTGGCTTTGGGAAAATATCTAAATGATTTGGAAATAAACACTTTTTTGTTCTGTGAAATGGGTATGACAAAAGAGAATGAATATTGGCGGTCAAAGGAAAATATGAAGTATTGGTGTCTAAAAGTGATAAATACAGAAAGAAATTTGAGAATTTTTGAATTAGGAAAATGTTTAAAAAATGTATATATGAACCCATAAAAATATAATAACAAGGAAAAACAAAATTTATGCCCTAATTAATATATGAATATATTCAAAGTACAGTGTATTGAGATGTCTAGAAAGTACCTTAGTGCATTCAAATGACAAGTTTTCAGAAATATTTTAAGTATTTTTCTTTCATTGATCTTTAGGGCATGCATTTTTCCTATATTAATCACAATTCGTATTTTACAACCTTATAAAAGATGGAATACAGATATCAAACAGTTTTATGATAAATATGCACATGTATGTCATTTATTTATGGCTGACAGGTTATGTTTAAGGATACCAGAACTGAAACTGATCTACTCAATCAGATCAACTGTTGCAATGTTTTAAAATCTATGAAATGGCCTCAAAAAAAAAAAAAAAAAAAAAAAAAAAAGAAAAAGAAAAAAGAAAAACATATGACTGTTAACCCCAAGTTGTTTTAGAAGTTACAGATGCCATCAAGCAAAGAGTCCACACCTATTAAGCACACTTGGTATTAAGACAGAACAGTGTCTGGTGAGATTGTTGGTCACCAAGGGCTGTTTGCATTATAGTATTTTTTCCTTTTAACATTCTCTTTTGGGTTGTTCTTTTTGGAGGTATGAACTTTTGAAATGAGCAGAACATATTTAGGGCTAGAATTAAGGTTTTCTTAGGTGGCAGAAAAAGGAAAAATGTCGAATAAAATATGAATCAAACTGCAGAAAAGTAGCAGCATTTTACATATTAGTGAACCTAATAAAATAAAATGGTTAGATCTTTTTACTTTTATGAGTCTTAGGTAAGCTAGGGATTGATGTTAGTGCCCTTTCTTCAGCTTTATACTACTTTTCGTGCATAAGTAATCAGCTCAATAAGGACTTGGTAATGACTATAAGAAAAAGTTATTCCCAAGGCTGCTTTTTAAATTTTGTGTTTCTGGCTAATTTAATGGACTTCTTGAAATGGTATTGTGGTTAAAGTCAACTTAATTTTAGTAGACATATGGTGTTGAACAAAATTTCATGTATTGTCATATGACCAAGTAATGCAATATTTTGTGTGAGAAATTTTTGGCTAAGTTAATTAAGAAATTATGATAAAGTAAAATGGATTGCTAATGGTTTTGATTTAGTCATATATTTTTGAAGACCTACTGGTATATTAAAAAAGAATTATTGAAATCCAAATCTTGTGGCCTATATTTCCTTTTTACTCAGTTGATAACTTTATGACAGTTTATGAAGAAGATGCAGAACATTTTAGGATTGTAGGTGGTTTTTCTTTATCAAAGAGACTTTGTTTATTTTTATTTTGTCTTATTAGTGACATTTGAAATCATCATAGGACAAGTAGGTAGGGCAAATTACTATCATGACTTCAAGTTAGTACAACTGAATTAAAAACTATTTTAAGAAATAAGTGAAGAAGTATTAAAAAAATATACACTTTTAAAATTTGGTGTACATTGCAATTGTTTTGGTGAAGTCTCAGTGATTCATTTTATGTTATCTGTTGCGCAGAAGATTGTTGGTATTATTACAATGAATGCTAATGACCTGCTGATTTCATCTAGTTAAAAGTTCTGTTCTAAACTTGAGAAGTTAGCATTATTTTAACATTTGTTTCCTGTGATGACTAACAGTTTTTATTTTATTTGAAATTTAAGGAAAAAATGAGGAAATATTAGTCATTAGTGACAATTTTTCTTTTATAATCTTTATAAGCATCTACTTTCTGAAATGATTTAAAAAACTGAATCATAACTCTTGGATAAAATCTAAATAATGAATTTAGTACATGTTTTACTGGTAAGTGGATCATAAGGGTTAAATACATACACTTTCCCAGAACTTTGAAGCAAAATGGAAGTTACTTTTAATTTATGTTTCCCTGAGGTGGAACATTTTAATTTTCAGAAAATTTAATTAATGATTCTCATGGAATACAGCAGTCATACTTTTAAGATGTAGAAATGTCGACGTAATAAAAAAGACTTGATTTTCAAGAAAGCGTATACTTCATATAATGCAGCAGAGTTTCTTAGGGAAAGATCTTTACTTTTTCATCAAAATATATTTAGAGTGCATTTTAATTTCCTGAGAAGTAGATTTTTACAAACACTTCTTTTTGCTGTCTTATCTTTGGCTGTATCATGTCTCTGCAGCATTATAAGAATAGAAAATACTCAACAAAAGCCACTGCCAGACTTTATCTTTTATGCTGTCGTTTTAGAGGATGAAGCATGAAGTACAAAATTTCTAGAAAATCTGTAATAGTTTTAGCTAATATCAGACTCTGTCTGCAAGAATGTTTCATTATACTTTCTGAGCTCTTTTCTGTTTATTATTTTTAGTGAAGCTATGGTTCATCAATTATTGATAATAGAAGTAAAAATGCGATCCTAAACAATGGCTACCAAAAGTTTCAACTTATAGAAACATTATCTAAGGGAGAAGTAACCGCAGGAGCATTGTCACTCAGGACTGGGACTACCACTTGCTACTTTTTACATCATTTTAGATAGTTTATACTTGGTTTTTTGATCTGAAATATGAAGAAAGCTGTGAATCTATTTTACACTACTTCCATTCATTTTTGGTTTCCTAAAACACCAAACATGTCATTAGATTATAATTTGATCATGTTTGTTCTGTAGGTTATTACTTACCCTACTAGTAAAATGAGTGTTTTAAAATATAGTATTAAGGCTTCTCTGTTTCTTATTGAAGTAAAAATCATCAAAAATGTTTTAAGGTTGAAAATGGAATGGAAGAGAGAATGCCAGAATTTTCTTTTTAAAGCAGTGTTTAGATTGAGTGGTCATGTGGATCTGTTCATCCATGCAATCCTTTCTTTTTTAAATATATTCATTGGCTTTCACAGAGCCCTGTTTGTCCTCTTATTCCCTCCCCAACCCTATCTCCTTGCCATATCTTAGACTTATTAGCCTTCTTCAATAGCATTAGTAAAAAAAGCAATGGAGCATACTTGTTTGTCCTAAGAACTTTTAGAAGATAATTGATGTTTGTCATTCAGATGGTAGCACTTACATGCTGCTAAATTTAGAAAATTTCTAAGTGATCACTACTAATAATAAACTGAAGCTAACACTTCAGTTTACCATTTTATGTCACACTCATGACTTAGGAGTTACCTGGCACACTAAATCATTTGCGGAGTTATTGTGTTAGGCAATTTTGTTGTTCTTAGTGGTAGTCAGTAATTATTTAGGTGATTTTTTACAGAAAGAAATTGTGTTGCTCATAACATAAAACTTAAAAACTTCTCCAGAAATGTTGCCACTATGGTGTATAACATTCTTTAATTCTAAAAACAAGTGGTTTTCTTCAAAGTTTTACTCTGGGAAAGAAAGATGCTGTGTGGCATTTTGGTAAAGTTAATGTTTAGAAGGGAATTTTGAGATTTTAACTAGATAAATCATATTCTATTATGGATTATATTTTTAAAGAAACTTAGAGAAATGTGATATATGTTCCTTCTTTGACACTGAAGCTAGCCAGCTCTTAAAGGCTTTCATTTTGTTTTAGTACTCATTTGAATTAGAAGCTGTATTTGACAAGGTAGTTTAAAACTGTGTGTATTTAGTTGGAATCTTAAACTTAGGCCTTTACTTTCTTGGCAAGCAGATGTGTGTTAGAAAGAAGTAATGTGCTTTGTCTCAACATGGTCTCCTACAGAAGGGGGCAATTCTGATTCTCAGTGGGTCTACTGTGTTATTACTTTTTCTTTTTAGTTTCCTTTTAGATTATTAATTGACTTTGTCTTATACTTAGTTTTATAGTTACACCTTTTAGTTCTGAATTTTTTTCCCAACTATATTTGTCTTTGAATAGGAGTTACTGGAGTTCAGATTTCTTATTATTTGATTGCTCAATTACTAGTAGAATAAAAGTTACTTTTCAAATTATATATGATTTATATATAATATATACATATATATGATTTTATACTGCAGGACTTGTGCCTTGCCCATAGCTTACACAATTAAATAGGAGTTGTTTTTTCCATTACTATGCTGTATTTGTCTCCTAGTTCTACACTCTGTGGCTTATTTTTCTGCATTCCTTAGTATGACAACTTGCTGTATTTATTTACAGAGCACTGGGATTTACCATATGATGCTGATTGATGTAACATAACCTTGTATTCTCATCCAGTGAACTTCTAGGCCCTTTTTTAGCAAACTACTTAATGGGACCAAGCCTAATGGAAGAAAATAAATCAATTATTTTGTGTTAATTACCTAAAAAGCATTGGCTTGTGAGTTATTGAAAGTGTGCAATTTAACTTCTCTTTCACTGAAAGAACAAGAATGGTAAAAAGAACATTCACAGGAATGGAAGCATTATTTTTCTTCAGAGCTGTAATAATGAATTCACTCCCTTTTCCCCACTCTCCATATGTCTCATATTGTTTTCTGAGCACAAGTATATATATGTATATAGAAATAGGCATTGTTCTCCTGCTAGCTTCAGAGCTAGATTTGGTGATGTGGTATTTTGGCTGATATTGAAGAAAAAAAAAACCCAAGGGTAAAAATCATGTCTTCATTTCTGTGCACATTTACATGGGTCTTTGGTAGGTTCCATTTGAATGTTTTGTCCTTTGTTCTTCTCCTTTGAAAGTCACCTTTCACACTGACGTTCTCTATAAAGCTTCCATCTTTTCTAGCTTACATTACACTGGATGTT